AATTGAATTTGTTATACCCTGCCAGAAAGTTCATCGTACCTGTTGTCGACCTGAAAGGAAGGATGCAGATGCAATTGAGTCGACTGTTAAGACCGGTGGGAAAAAAACTAAAAGATTTGATTTTTTATCCTTTTGTTTAGTCTTTTCAATAAATTCTAAATTCTCCTCAAAGGAAAATATCGAGCCCAAACCGTAACTTGAACTATAATGAAGTCAATCTTGAGTGCAAATTAAATACAGCCTCTTTCACTCCCCGAAACAGTAATTAACGGCCGAGAAAATAGCAGAAATTTATCTTAGCCATTTTAGGGGTCCTTGAAGCTTGAAAATCATCAAACATTGAAGCAAATTAATGCTTTTATAATTTATATGTATAAATAAAAAAAACATGTATATATAAGTGTATAATCGGATTTTGGTTCAGTTCGGTTAACCGATCACACTTATCCAAACCGAACCGAAAACCAAAATTTTATAAAAATTGAAACCAAAAGTCGTACCAAATATTCGGTTTCGGTCCAAATTAAATTTTTAGTTTCGGTTGGTTCAGCTCGGTTAACCAAACTTTTGTGCACCCCTACTCACAATACTAAAAAACCTAACATTACAAAACTCCCACTAGTAGAGAATACTAACTCCCAAAACGTAAGATAGAAGCACAAACACACAAAACTAAACACTTTGACACCCTGTAAATTAGACTAAAGCTCTCCCCAGCGGCCAGGAACATCCAACACCTCTACAATCAAGCCAGCACCTAACGAGATCTGCTGAGAAGAAGTCAGATGGCCCACGGCCTAGTACACTGGGTCTAGAAACTCCCCTAGCGACTAACTAGACCCAGGCCAACGTACCCAACCTCCCCCAGTAAACCACAGACTCATCCCAGCCAGTCCGCACCAACAAAAAAATTTCTGTAAATAAGCAAATATTATAAAGATAAAAAATGTTAAATGGAAGTTGAAGTAAAACCATCACTCTCTCAATTTTAGTATTTTATAATTAGGGTGCACATAAATTGATCTTGTAATGACATAAAAGTTTATGGAGTAGGCATAAGAGGGAGCTCTCACAAGTACTGGGCAATACAAATTATACAATGGTTCTTGTTTCCTCTCCATGAAATCTGGAATGTCTGCTCGTCCATGGCTCTCTTGCTGTGCTATGTAAACTGTAGTCGTTCGATGTAAATCTGCCTCAATTTTATTCTCATGAAAATTATACAAGGTCATGCGATTGAACACCCTATCCTCCTAGGGGGGGATGAAATCAGACATAAAACTTCACCAGAAATACTAAAAATGTAGATTAACGTACAAAATAGGTATTATGAAAGAACACGTGACTCAAAGCAGAATACAAAGAACAGATTGCGCAACAACAGTAATATTAAAGCCACTCTTATAACTCACGATGTACTGTAAATCCTGAATTTATCTAAGGTAAATTTGAGGCTTTCCATCAGGTAAACTGGAATTACAGACTACTATAATAATTTTAATCAACTTGTCTCCACAACCTTGAAATAAACGTTTTCAATTCGTATTAATTGATAAAACAATCTATGTCAGCATTAGTGGTAGTTAATTAACATGACGCAACAAATACCAAAAAATATTCAGAGGCTCAATCCTAAGTATAGTGCTTTTTGTGACTTTACATAGCAGTGTACAATCAATAAGCCTCCCTCAATCCAGCAAGCATAGAAACTGTAATTCTTCAGGAGTTGTACCAATATATGTGAGCGCAAGGGCAGCCTTTTTCAGTACACGACTATCTGAAACAGCCACAGCAACTTATTATATCGACAGATAAAAGCAAACCATTCATTTTCCAAATTGTATAATTCTCTCCATACGACCAAAGTCCAAACATGTAAAGAGCAAAGACTGCTCGAGCAAGAGTACCGAGTCAAGTCCTCAGCAATTATATTAAAAATAAGGACTAAAAGATGAATGAAAAAACCAACTTATATAGCATGACCAGTAAAAAAGTTCCACTTTTCTTAATCACATGACAGAAACAATAACCCCCTGCAACTGAAATCATAAGCTATAACAATTTTGTTACCTCACAAGGATTTCATTTTCTTCATGTAGTCTTCAACCACCTCTGCTTCAGCATACATGTTCTTCAGCTTAATCTCATGCAAAAGCAAAGCACACGTCACATATCGAGGTTTAATGTTTTGACCTATCATGACCTTAAAAAGCTCGTATGCCCTCTCACACTCATTTGCTCTGCACAGCCCGTGGATTAACAGCATGAAAGTTGCCAGATCAAGACACAAATGGTGCTTCTTAACCATGACATCCAACAAGTCAACCAAGCATTCACCTGTCTTCCCATCTTGAAAGTACAACTTGAGCAGTGGATAGAATGATTGAACATCAGGTTTACAATATGGTGAGTTCTCTAAGCCCTTCAAAAACTGCAGCGCCCTTTGCTCTTGTCTGCGATGGCAAAACATAGCAATCATCGTGTTATAAGTTGACGTACTTGGGCTAATTTTTTTTTCAGGCATTTCTTTTGTGAAAATGTAAAGAGCATCCTCGACCCGGCCCGCCCGGTCCAGCGTATGCAACAACGCATTGTAAAACAGTGTGTCAGGTTCACATCCAACTACTTTCATTCTATCCACTATATCCAAGGCCCCCCTTAATTCTCCGCACTTGGTCAAAGAATGCATGATAGTGGTGAAAGTGACGATATTAGGGCAGCACCCTTGTGCTTCCATTTCATCAAGAATCTCGTAAACCCTATAGAACTTGCCCTGGAAACAATAAAACTGAATAATGGTCGAGTAGCTTATGACACACGGCTTGAAACCGTCTCCCCTCATTTCCTGGATTGTCCACTCGGCCTCCTCAACCCGATTTATTTTGCACCAGCCGTGAATAAATATGTTGTAAGTATTTGCATTGGGTCGAATGTGTGATCTCAGGTCCAAGAACAACGAACGAGCTTGCTCAGCTCTTTTCTCCTTGCAGAGAGTGTCTAGAAGGATGTTCATGGATTCAGTATTTTTATTGAGCCCAAAACTTTCCAGCTCGTCGAATGTTTTCACGGCATCTGTCCATTTTCCTGCACCGGCAAATCTTCTCATCATTTTCGATATCGTGTTTAGTGAGACAAGACGGGTTTCACACATTTCCTCAACCAGGTCCTTCATTTTGTCCATCTGTTTTGTCTTTCCCAAAATATCCACCAACTTGTCGTGCAACCCTGGTGGTATTTTGTAGTCCGGACAAGTCTGGGCCCATCTGAAGACGCCTAAGGCCGATTTCCAGTCGTCTTGAAAACGGTGGAGTAATCTCCCGAGCAAGCCATCCGTGATCCGTATAGTGTTGCACTGTGGGTCACGAGATAACGACTCCAAGGCTTCGGTTTCGCTCTTTGCTTTTACGACCCTTGAGATGATGATATTGGCATCATGCTCCGTTTGAAACTCTATGTGCTTTGGTTGTGTGGAGGAAAATTGTCGGGAGCAGTTTGTGAAGACAGCTCGACAAGGAAAATGTGTTTGTGTGGAGAGGATTCTGTGAGACAAAACCATGAAGCATAAGGAGAGGTGCTTCAATTGTTTAATCCTGCAAATATATAACAACAAAAGCTTCAACTCTATTCATTGTCCCTCAACAGTACATACAAAGGACCCAGTAACCATTTGTGACAAATTCTTCAAGAGATTATACTTTTAACTTCACAAGCATTTCAAGAAATCTATACAGAATACCAAAACGCATTACTTTCCTTTCCTCTTCTGAAATAAACCACAATGTTCCCAATCACTCAAACATGATCAGCAAAAAAAAATTTCGAGAAAATGCGAAAAACTAAGCACACACTAAAAGAAGGGGCAACCCATTAGCAACAATACAAACAGGTAGCATGAAGCTGGAAATACACAATAATCGAGTCACTGAAAAAATCAAAGTACCTATACTTTCTGAGGAGTTGAGGGCGTCACGCAGATTAATCGAAGAAGACGATGCGATTATCGGTCAATGATTTCTCAATTTCATCATATCAAACCATTCTGAACGTCTTCTTCCTCCAGCGAAATTCCTTACTCTTCAACCTCTGATAAGTGAAACTGCTTTAATGTTCCTATTAAACCGTCATCCATTGAGCTTCAGACTGAATGGCAATGGAATCCTAGCAGCACAAGAGACCCGCCCAAACGTAAAGGAAGGAAAGAAGAAACCCACCACCTTAAAAAACCCTAAAACCCATGAAAAACAAAAAGCTCTAACCTCAAAGAATCAAAGCAGAGGGGAAAAAGAATTAAACCTTAATAGGGAAAATCTGGATTTGAAGACGGTAATAGAGAAAACCACATGGAGAAAGTCCCTCCACCCCAACGGAAACGTTGACTATCTTTATCCCTAACCCAACTCAATTTAATAATTAAAAATTATTTCACCTTACGATGTTCATGAATCATGACCAATTGGATCCTGATGTACCAGTAGGTACCAGAGGAGATCGCTATGATCGTTACTGTATTTGTATCAGAGTCTTCGGATCATTCACAACTCAATCTTTCAACCTAAGTACTCATCCCCAATTCAATTCAACTTAAATATTTATTTTAATTTAATTTATTTAAAAATTATAATTTTATTCCAAAATACATCAAGTTTGGTCTCTATTTATAGGGAATGAAAAAAATATGAATTTTAATATTATTTTTATGTTTTTTAAACAAAAAAAAAAAATACACTTATTCAATCAAAATGGGACAAGTGTCCTATTTTCACACGACATATGGGTCGCGACCCAAGGTCACAATGCAAACTAAGTCGCTCAAATCCTACAACTTTTTTGTTTATTTTTTAATTTTTTTTTATTTTTTAATTGGTGACCCATGGGTTGGGTCTAGAGATGTTAAATGGGCTAGCCCTAGCGGTTACGGGCTAGCCCTAGCGGGCTTCGGACTAAACGGTCCGGGCCTAAAAAGCCCGAATTTAAACGGGCTACCAATAAAAGGACTTAACCCTAACCCTAGCGGGCTTCGGGCTAAACGGGCTTTAATAATAGTATTAATAATAATGTATCAAAAAATATCAAAAATAAAAAGAAAAAAATTATAAAAAGTTACAACGACTAATTAACGATTGTTTTCAACGGTATTTATTATTTGCTGCTCTATATATACAACTACACATCATATATGAACACATACTACAAACTCTTAAATAATATTTTTTTTTCAAAAGAAAAAAATATTCAAATTATTACTTACAATTACCATTTCACTACTTATATTTTGTTCGCTTTGGAAATTTTTACGATATTATATCACTATAAATTCTATCACTATGTTTCATGTGTTAGGTCTTTGTCTCATTTGTTTCCTATTAGTCGTTCTGATTGAGTTAAATATTTTGGTGTGGAGTACAATAAGAATATTGTTAATAATTATCTTTCCAAATCAATATAATCCGTTACAGCTCATACTTATATGTGAAGTGGAATAACAAAATTTTAATATACAATGAATCTAAGAGTATATTACTTACTTGCTGCAAATATTTACAATGCCCAACTCAAGTTAAACGGGCCAGCCCTAGCGGGTTTCGGGCTAGCCCTAACGGGCTTCGGTTTAAACGGTCCGGGCCTAAAAAGCCCTGATTTAAACGGGCTACCAATAAAAAGCCCTAATCCTGTTTTTTTCCGGGCTAAACGGGCCGGCCCGTCGGGCCAAGGACCGTTTAACATCTCTAGTTGGGTCACCAATAAAGGCAGTCTTAAAGCTCTCAGCTGAAGAGACGAACCCTCCACACGAGACGCTATTTTGCACGGCTCGGCGCGTTAGTTGGCTAGTGCAAATCACGTGTTATTTATTTTTTTACGGCTCACTGTTCGTTACCAAACAAGGCCAAAATCTTTGAATTTAATTTGAGTCATGACTAGTTAGAATCTATATATATATATAATTGCTAGCTAATCATTAAATAAAATCTCATAAATAAAACCTATTTAATTTTACCTAATAATTTATACCTAATAAATACTACAACCTTTCATATAGAATAAACGTTACTTTTACAATTATGGATTATTATTGTACATTTATGATTATACATTGTAACGTTTCATTCTTTTAAATGGTATTTTCATCTTTTTATTTTCTTTTATGACATCTAATAAAAACTAATTAAAATTAAAAATAATCTATTTATATAATTAGGAATTATCACAACAATAAAAATTTGCATATTCCACTTTTCTTTTTTTTTTTTAACATAGTAGCTTGGTTTTTTTACTTAATATGTAAGCATACTAAGGTTGAAATTAATTGTTACGATTTTATGCGCTCATTTAATAATTCTAACTTTTATTCTATATATTTTTTAAATAGAATGATTAAAAATTATTCTACCAAAACATGTGGTATAATACAAAAATAGAAAATTAAAATAAAACAATCATTCTTATAAAAGACAATTTATTGTTGCATAAGAACATGTTTAATTTTTCAAAAAATGCATTCGCTTAAATAAAATTCATAGCCTCAAATAGTAGTAGTAATGATAATAATAATAATAATAATAATACTAATAATAATAATAATAATAATAATAATAATAATAATAATAATAATAATAATAATAATGTATTTTATATAAATATCATTCCCGTTATGATTATATTTATGTTCCTATATATACTAGTGCATACCCCGTGCGGTGCACGTGATACATATAATAAATCAACTATTTTTATAGGACTTGTGCGTCTAGACAAAAAAAAAAATAGGCTTGACATCCATATTTCACATCTTTTAATAAGTAGCGTTTATTTAAACTGAAAAATTAACATGTTAATTAATATTCAATTCCGCTAACACGTCATACTAATATTTAGTTGATTTTAGAATACATATTTATTCATTGATATAAGAAAAGATAAAAATTTTATTTATTCTTGTTCACCATATAATACTCAATTATTATTTTATTATTAAATTTATAGTCATATAATGTCATTATTATTATTTATAAAAGTTATAGAAGTAGTCTTCTTTATGTAATGAAATTCAAAATAAAATTTTGAGTATAAATGTTTACAAAATACACAACATGTTTTTTAGAATTCAATTTTTTCATAATATTTTTTTTTAAAAAAAAAAATGATTTAGCAATTGCCAAAAATAAATCCCTTACATAATCAAGAGATTTTTTCTAATTTTAATCCTAAGTCTTTATAGTTTATTTAACATACTATGCAATAAAAAAATATTTTACAATAAGTTCATTTTTGAAACATAACAAAAAAGTGATAAAAACACTATCATAGTTGACAATAATATATAAATAAATGACATGTCGAAATTTTAAAGAATAAATAATATAATTTTATTATCTAACCATCAATAAAATCAATTAATGATGTGATCATTATCCTTTAAATGATAAATAATATTAATTTTTTAAAAAAATATTAGTTTTATATAATTAAATAAAGGTTAAAAAATATTACTCGACAAATATTAATTATAATGGATATCAGTAAAATCATTGCATAAATTATTTAAGAAAAAATTTCTTAAGATCATATCTAGATAGTAAATGTAAATATGCAAGCATTTAATGCATATAGTAAAAAAATTCCAAATAAGGTATGCATTAAATGTGTGTTGACTTTTCTTGCTACTATTTTTGGTAAATAGGTTAGCTTTTTTAATATATATATAGATAACTATTCACAAAGAATTTATTGCAAAAATAAAATCAACACATTTTATTCAACTAATTGTAAAAGAAGCTGTTATATTTTTCATTAATTAATTAAATTATATATTTTATAATTACATAATAAATAATAATAACTAAATGATATAAGAAAGTTTATACATATAAAAAAATTATTTAGATTTTTTAAGCTACTTATTTAATATAATAATTATTTTTTAACTCATCAATATTTTTAATAAAAATAGTTAATTACTTTTTATGGCATAACCATGTCATTTTTTTAATAAAATTTTTATGGCATAATAAAATTTCGACAATATGCATGATATAGTCATTATTTATCTTAAATTTTAAATATTATATAAATGAAGAATCATGCAATTCACCAACTAAAATGGCGGGACAATATTAGAGTCAGTCAAAAAAATAAATTAAAATCATACAATTATTCTTTAAAACTGAGCAATCATTTGGCAATTAAATTATACAATCAATGACCATTTTTTAAAACTTTATAAATATCTGAAAAAATAAGAACCAAAATCACATTCAGCAAAAAATACTACTCAATAGGAAAAAAAAAATTAGCCAAATTCTCATTTAAAATGGCTTTTATGTTTGATAATATTGAGGTTGATTCGTCATTATTCAACAAGATTTTGATAAAATAAAAATAAAAAGAAAAAACATCAAAATGGCGGATTGGAGTACGTATTTCACGATGTCAAGGTATAAAAAAATTTTCAGTCTTTTTTAACACATACTATTTCAATATCAATTTTTTATAATATTATTTTTTTTTATCGTGTAGGGTCAGTGAATTCACGCTTCAGGCCCGGGTTGCTTCGCTGAA